CAATTTTTTTCTATAGTGACTAAAACAGGTAGCCAAACCCTTCCATTAGCCAAAAACTAAATCATGGACACGCATGGGAACTATTAAGTAAAGTAAAGGAAAATAAAAGTAAAGTTCAAACGTTCGGTAAGGAAAATATCTCGAAGAAAAAATTAGGATGAGTTATTTAAAGTATAAATTACAAAGACGATTGAATGAAGGCAAGAGGAAGTCCAAAGAGTGTTTAAGTAGGGAGAAACATTTCGAAAACAAGGCTGCTGCGCTGCTAGGAGAGCTTTTCCACATACAAGTAAAAGTTACATAATGGCCCTGTCCGGCATTTTCTGAAAAATCACGACATTCCCTACGCTTTTGGAAAAGGCCCCAGAATCATTGGTAGACATGTCATTTCATCATCTGATGAAATCATCCTTTAAAACGGAGCTTGAAACATGTCCTTAGCTAAGGCGAAATGAAGGAGAGCTTCTACTGCACATACCCAGTCCTTCCCGGGTCCCTTATTAAAACCTTGATTGGATTGAAAGCTCTTAAGACGACATTAGGATCATGATATGAATAAAATAAATCGGGTGATTCGTACTTAGAAGGAAGATGACTCACAACGATTACTGTATTTGTCGATTACTGTAAACAACTCGATCCATTTTTAACGGTTTCTACGTTAATGCAACAATAGCCAGATAAGTAAACAAGTAAACAACTATTCCGTAGCAATTTTACTCAACTACCTTGAGTTATTAATAAACTGTAAATACGTGGCAGTACATTTAAAAGTAAAGAAAGGAGGACTGCACAAAAATGTTTTTAAAAAAAATTGAGAAACAGTATCCAAAACGAGGAACAAAAGGCGTTGAGAAATTGAATCGAAAACAAATTTCGTAGGGGGCTGTCTATGAGGTAGATAGAATGCGAGATCATTTTCAAAATAAAGAATGGCAGACGACAGGGAGATGCTTTTCAATTTGGTATTGACGTTTTTTTAAAAATGCTTGAACAAAGAAAATACTGAATTCAGGGTATGGTTAGGAATAAAGCATGGCAAATCAGGTGCTAAAGATGCTTTTCAGAGAGGGAGAAGACTTTGGGAAATACTGCATTAACTGAGGAAACAGCTCTCGAATACAGACGGTCAGAAATTGAAAAAAAAGTTGAATTGCAAAAAAATTGGTTTTCACCAGCAACGCGAATATCAAACGAGAAAATTCAAAAAAAACTCAAAATATTCCGAATAAAAGAAGTACCTCTTAGTCAAGGCGATTTATAAACCAGTGAGCAGTCGATTTTAGGAAAAAGCTCAACTGTTTTTTTTTTCACTGTCATAGCAAAGAAATTCCCTTTTCTCAATAATTACCATTTAAAAAAAAGAAAAGATTCGGTTTATGGCGTTTATCAATCCCCTTTTTGGTATTCGCCTCAGCGATTCTCGTATTTTAAACATTTCCTTCTACAAATTGCTTCGAAAAAAATACTCAATAATATTCCGAATTCCGTATGTCCTGGACGACCAAGTAGAAAGCAGCTCACTTTCAGGGGATCATTGAAACTATGAGAGCTAGGCTGAAAAAAGTGGTCATGACGAAGCGGTAATCCCAAAATGATATCACCATTGCACAAAACCGTTTCTCCGTAAACTTCCCCACTGCCTTTCGCTACTGAGCTGGGCGTTCGAACAATTTTCAAGGCCCATTAACGGAAGCCAGAGTATTTAGAAGCTTAAAATTTATCTACAAATGAAAATTATGGGTAGCTATAGCGTAGTAGTAAATGGCGCACTATCACACACGCGTAGTCTGGGGATTGAACCCTGAACGAAATTCGACTGGCCAATCAAGCCTTCTTTCACTTCGGCTCATTGTTTATTCGGTACCAAATTGGTCTGAGAGGAGACAACCACTAACTTGGACAATGACTGGCCACCTTTAGTCCTTGTATGGGCTAATACGCCTTCAAAACGCCACCGCGATTCTGACTGGAGGTCGAATACGCGACGCATCCCAAAAATGGGATCGATAAGTGCCGAAGGCTACATCGATCATTCATTAAACGGAAAAGTAAAGTTCATTGTTATGACAGCAAAAAATGTAGCTTTTTTTTTCAAATTGACGGCTCACGAAAGCGACTACTAACGGATTTCTCATTCGACGCCGACGATGTCCTCACACGACATCAACGATGGCAGCTGATAGTGTAAACGACAGCTGTTGACGTCAATGATGGGTTAGTGAAAATGAGCACGCAATCGATGTTACATGAAATTGCTGGACATGGCTTAATGCATGTAAAAATACAATTTATAAAGACTTATAACATAAAATTGTATTGGAACTATGCCAAGGTTTATTGAGAGTCGAACATGGCATGCATATATGTGTATGTCTGCCAGTAATCCCCAGCGATTATCACTTTATCACGTCAATTAGTCAACGATCATTAATCACATCATAAATAGTCGTCACCTGGCTCAGGTGCTAATCGCGCCTGAAACCATGCTCTTGTTAGGTTTGACGGCACCGCATATACTGCAAAGGTAGCAACAAGTAATACTCGAGGACAGAGAAAGATCGAGTCTTTAGGCGTTGACCAACTCCGTCTGAGGGATGCGCCCCGCATTCGGCTTCTATTCAGAATCGTAGTGGCGTATTGAATGCCTATAGGGCCTGTACAATGAATAGTAGTGGCCAGCCCGTTTACAAGTCAGTGCTTCTATCCTCCCAGACGAATCTGATACCAATTAAGCGACCCATAAGGATGGAAGGCTTGGTTGGCCTAAGCGGATATCGATCTGGAATTCGAACCCGTGATCATACGTGTGTGACAGTGCGCCACTTGCACTACACCAAGGTATAATGAAGAGATCAAATATTTATTTTCAACTTGTTTATTTTTAGTTTAGTTATTTATTTATTCCATATAAATATAAAAACTTCATGGGGCAGGTAAACATAGCGGCTTTCGTTGATTTACGATGTTGTTCTGATGCTGATCTATGCGGGATGAACCGATGCAGTCAACTCAATCGTACTGGCGTTTGAGGGGATAACCGAGGGTTCGACTTATATAACTTACAAATCTGGACCAGCATGGGGCCAGGATAGCATATTTTGGGTTCGAGCCCCGTGTGGGGTCGAAATCTAGTCCATAACTCGCCAGCCCTGTAAGACCGATTCATCCCGAAGGAATAGCGGGTCCGGTGGGTGAGTATTCCGCCTTTTCCGGAGTGTACATTTTAAAACGAAGAAGTTCTCCAACACAAGTACATCATTACATATTTAGCAGTAAGAAGTAGTAATGTAGAGGAATTGAAAATTGAGAAGGAGATAGCTTAACAACACAGATACTTATAAAATGCCCCTCTACCATCTTGAAAAAGGAGAAATCGTGACGGAGAAGGAGAAAAGAAGAGATTGTCCCCTAGAGGTAAATAAATTACCCCTCTCCCGTGAATTGAACGTAAATTCAAAATTGTAACATTAAACTGAATTTCCGATAGGCATAGAAGACGAGCCTGTGGAGAAAGTGCAAACTCAGCGAAATGGAGGGTAAGGAAAAAAGTATTACCGCCGAAAGACACTTCAGAAATTGAGGCACTACTTGGACACTCCTCAAAGTGCTCTTCTTCGAAAAGGCTTTAACCAACGAAAAAAAACGTCATCTGGGGGATGTTGGAACTAATTCAGATTACCACACAGAGTAGACGAGATGAGAAAATGTTCTAGCACTTGACGGAATTGATTCCCTTTGATGGAAAGGGAAGCTGAGAGGAAGGGCCAAACTGCCAAAGACACATAGCGAGCATTACGATCACCTTCGATTTCACATATGCCAATTAGGACTGAGATAAGCACTTTCTCACACGCATGGTTCGGAGATCGATTCCCGGATCGGTATTCGACCGAGTTGCCAAGCGTTCTCTCCCTCCTGGTCGTTAATTGGTTCCAGACTCGTATGGGAAGGATAAAGCCTCGGCTTCTACATAGCTTAGCACGGCGACTCATTGTATAGGGAACATACGCATCGAAAAGGCCTCAACGGATCTCACTGGAAGTCGAGTTCGGGGCGGAATCCAGAAACAAGATTGATTACGCCGAAGGCTTTACCTATGGAATATACTCACTGTTAGTGGGAAGAGTCATTGGAGAGAGAAGACTGTGGGGGCCTTGTGGGAAGCGAAGTGAGCCTCACAATCAGAAGTGCCACAATGAGGGGCTAAAGCTCGTGAGGCAGCGGGCACTTCTCGTCTAAATGGAATTAGTGACGACGCATATATAAGACAGCAAAGACCACATGAGAAAAAGCAGTCACCCGGGCTTTATGACGTCTGCGCCCTTTTACATACCCGTCGATAACTATATTTTGAGGCTGTTCAGCGGCGAACGATTGATTTATTGGACTTTTTCTGTAAAATTATGGCTTCTTGGATACCTTTCACCAGGCCAACCCCTATTCGGGCAACTTTTCCACCTCCCTAATTAAAAGGCGTGTATTCTCATTGTATTTATTTTTACTGGTATGTATTTCGAATATGCTTAGCCCCTAGATCACCCAAAGACAGCTCTGACTGAACTCAAGTTTTTTTGTGAAAATATGGCAATTTTGCATGAACGGTCTAAACTGACAACATTTGGGACCTAAGTTTCAAATGCTCTTACTTGATGAAGTCTACCAAAGAGACCGAGATTCACCCCCAACTTCATTATCGACCTGTTCGCAGGCGGACACCCAGAGGAGGGCATTCGAGGACGGTCTTCTTCAACTCCTATAAACTCCTTACCATGAAAGTCGCCGCCTTCGACTTCCAAAACAACTGAGTGCAAACCCAATCGTCTACGCAAAAGGACATATTCTCAGAGAGAGTCAGAGCTTCTCATCCCCTTGCTCACAATTGGATCAGAGTTCGGGGGGGGGGGGGGGGGGTGTAACTGCCACGAGGGGTCTTCTTCGTTTTCGCAAATTTGGACGTCTAGATCAACAAGGACCACCATCTGAAGGAGATCTCAGGGGAGAAGTTGAATCCTTATACTGGTTTCTTCTCTAAGATTTCTCCTGGATGGTGGTCCTTGTTGATTTTACGGTATATTACGATGTGAAGGGTATTATGGCAAAAAGGGTTGGACATTCCAGCAAGATTTCGTGCCTGCTCCCTAAGCGATAACGATCAATGTCTACTATCGCAACAAACAGTCCGGCATATTCTCAACTGAATAAAGGCTATCCCCTTGTCGGATTTGAATCCACTTGACTACGCGGTCCGGGGGATTTCAGGGGCCTATGCTACATGACGCCAAAGTTTCCACTGGCTCAAAGCCGTCGAGAAGAGGTAGTCGAATATGGTCCTCTTAGAGTGACTGACTTTATCCTTGAACGTCTAGAGGATGTCACAAGAACAATGGATTAGATCCCTGGGAAAGGACAGAACCACAAATTTCGTATTATTTCAGCTATAAACGTTCAAGGAAAGTTTATTTCAAAAATCCTTGGATATCGCTTCTGTACCCACGAATCCAAAGAATCTAGAAACTATGTTGTTAAGATCCGGCACCGAATGGCGAATCTTGTTGACATTATCTGCCAAACGTGGCCTTCAGATGGAACATTAGTTGTCTTGTATTTCGAGCTTTTCCTCTGTACTTCTCCCTCTAAAGACGCCATACGCCTTATGCACTAACTCTAAAACTACGAGCAAGTTAGTGTTCTGTGCCATCGACAATATCTTTGGCCCACTATGGAGAGGATAGCTTTGAAGAGAAAGGTTCAACAAAAAGCACCCTTCTGTCAGGGTTGTTAAGCAGAAGTACATTATGACATTTCAAAAGCATTGGTTGAGAAAGAAACTTCGAGAAGAAATAGACGGAAATCATGGTGAAGCGGAAACCAATACCAAATATGGAGTTTGTGATAGGTGGACCAGCAAAGGTGTCCTGAGAAAACTCGGACAAAATGGTATTTCAGCTGAATCAAGATCAAGAGCAGTACAAGCCGCAAAGGGTTCGATGATGTACGTTGCGTGCTATAATCTGCTTAATGCTTTAATCTGCCGTCATCACGAAAACATAGAAGAAAGATCAAAAATGTAAAATAAAAATGTAAAAACACCCAAAAATAAATAGAACGGCTCAATTCTCCATTTTAAAAAATTCGATCTTTCTCATAATTTGAAATCGAAAAAAAAACAATCGCGCAACAGAAACGGCATTGATAAATTCTTTCAGAAATTCCTGACCCATGGCGTCAGTGCGCGCGCGAAAAATAAGGCGCGATCTCGGGCGACTCAAAAAAAAAGTAAAAACGTATGGTATCGTCAATAAATGAAATGAGCACTGAAGTATGGCGGTTAAACTCGAATCAATCTTAAATAGACAAAAGGGCACACTACATACTTGCCCATTCTAAAACGTTTAAGCCGCTAATTTAGGCCACGCCCTGAAAGATCTGACGAGCAGACCCCTTTGAACAGAAACGAAATCGGAAACGCGAAACTTTACACATGAACGATGTTTGCGCAATCAATCAACTTGAGCGTGTAATTAAGAGATCTCATTAAAGTAAGGCAATACCTCCAAAGAGCAACATGGATACGTTGAGCAACCTGCAATAACTACTCGAAAACTCCAGGCTTCCCTGGTAGTTAGGCCTCCAGAAAACTCCAAAATTCACTGAAAACCAGCAAACTGGAAGTCTTCTAGTTTTGCAACCAGCTTGTAGCACCCTTACAATGACAGCATTGGTTCAGAATTGATTAAAAGTTTATTAAAGTCGATATTGACTTTTCTCCCCTTCAGCCATAAATAAATTCGAAATCCTTCAGTCATGATTGCTTGAAGAATGCATATTTGACCCAATTGAACGACTTCCAGTGATCACCTGAGTACAAGTCAGTGCTTTTACCCTCCCAGACGGGTCTGGTAGCAATTCACCGACCGCGGAGGGTTGGAAGGCATGGTTGACATAGCGAATGTCGAGCCGGGATTTGAACCCTGGACCATGCATGTGTGATAGTTCGCCACTTGTCACTACTACACCTTGCCCCTGTTCGGATTGGATTTGGAAAAAGCTTAGTAAAGTACAAACTTAGTGTTCAAGTATGGAAAAATAAAAATATTAACAAATACGTGAACATAAAGCGATTCATTCCATAATATAGCAAAGGATAGCATTATTTAAACTTTGTAAGAAATAAACCCCGATTAATTTTTCAAGCCATACCTGACACACAGTGCACACGCAATGCCTAAACGACGTCAAAGCCTGATTCACGTACGGCTTATACTGTCGTCATTTTGCTAATTCAAAAATAGAAAACCAATTTCCCATTCAAGATTTCAACTGAGAGAATCTTGAAGAGAGGGCTTAGGAGAAAAAGGTTAATGTGAGTGCGTTAAAGGAATTTCCATGATTGGTTTCCCACGTTGTAAGGGTGTGATAGTCGAAGAGTAGGCAAGTAACAAATTACGTACACTGGAAATTACACAAACAACTGGGAACTATTGTTCGACTACTTTCGATTACTTACTTAAGCCTGTACTTTAAGCGCAAATTTAAGAGAATACTTCGGGACTTTTCGAGCACTTTGAGACTACGGTACCAAGAAAATTGAGGTGATGGCGATCAACCAAATATGAGAAGGGCTGTGACTGATTTTCTTAATGACTAGCCAATGGGTAAGTCTTGAGTAACTTTCTGACTGGGAACTGTCCCAAGAGTTATCGTGTATGCACTATGGGATTACGTCGTATGGGTACAGAGACAAGAAATTCTCAAGTTGGGCCTTGAATCTTCTTCAGCTTCATATTTTTCTGCAGAGCACGGTATATGACGGTCAATTATGATAGAATATTAAACTATATTCCCAATCTAAGACTGGTTCGGCTATTTTGGACGAATTTGAGCCCAAGTTCTGCATTTTTTTTCAAGAGCATCTTCTTCTTCATATTCACAACAAGATGTCTCTCGATGGGTCTTCCACGGAAAAACCCCATCTGCACCATTGAATGGCTGCAAAAAGTACTACTATAGCGCAACTTTCTTGACGACACATCCCAAGAGACATTTGTGCAAATATCAATTCAAAACACTATCCTTATGGGCCGCTTGTCCGTTTTCTCGCTTCTCATAACGCCTAGAAATGACCCATTCAACTGGGTATGACCCATATCCGTCCGAGTCGACTTTGTCGACGTTTAGCAGTCAAATTATAATACAAAAAGGAGACCAAAGTTCACAGGCGCGCGATTCCCTTCGTACGAAAAAGGTCAAGACTACCAGAAATACCCTGGGAGGTATGTGAAGGTAAGAGGCTGCCGAAAACTCCTTGACTTTGCTGTCTGAATGCAACTTCACAAGCACGCAATTTCCTTCAGATTAGGTCGGGGATTAGGTCCATGCCCGAAGTTAGGCATGGCCTGGGATGTATGTCAAGGTAAGAGACTGTCAAAAACTCAGCTGACTAGGCGGGCTGAACCAATTTCGGAAAACTCATCTAACTAATCGGCTAAGCACGTCAACTTCGGGCGGTTTTCAATCTTGAGGGGTTTCCTCGAGAAGATCCAGGAAAGAAGCACTTGAAGAATCACCGCGAAAGATGACGGTAAGAAATGAGGATTCGGGGATAAAAATACATCTTGAAGAGGCTATTTTTGTAGTGGTAGAGCTGCTGTTACTGCTGCAGCTACTGCCCGACTGCTGCTGCTGCTGTCAGGCTAGGCTGCACACACCATACGAGAAAATACTATCAACCAGATGCAGCTGCCACCTCTTGACGTCATACCGCATCTGTGCACCACAACGTGTAAAATGGGCGGGTAGACGGGGCTTGCAACGGACGGAAAAAACGATAGAAATGGCATGCTATTCTTATCTAATGATCATCAAAATAAAATCGTCTGAGTCATAACATCTCCTGAATCCCGAAAGCAGAGATAGAGGACAAAGAACAGAAGTGATGTAGGAGAAAGTTCCCGAAAAAAGGTTCGGGAATAGCGAATTCAATGTGAGCACCCCGATGCCTACATAAATGATGTCGACAGACATCTCATTTCGTTTTTTTTTTTGTAAAACCATCTGCTTTCAACCGCAGAGAACCCTTGAATGTAGAATTTGTGTGAGAATAAAGCATATGGAAAGCAATACGATGAAATATTATAAAACCAGTAATGAGATGTAATTTTTGGGTAATAGGTGAAAAGGATCCTGACCTGAGTATCGGGTTACGGCGCCCATAGAAAGGGTGCCAAATTCTGCCCATTTGGGCATACTTTAAGGTTTGAGTGTCCCCCAACTACATCTGTACGGCACTATTGTGGTAGCAGCAGCCTTTCATAAGCTATCAATAAAGAGCTCAAACTCTTCCTCAAAGGTTCCACTGATAAGGTCGCTTCTCTTTAAGGTATTGGGTTAAGCACCCTGAAGGCATGTGCAGATTACCGCTTTTGAAGGCCCAGTCCACGATAAAAACGGTCGGCTTAGCCAACGTACACAACAAGACGGACGAGTTCCTAGGGCGTTGTAGAGGCTGTGGAGGGTCGTATCGTTCGCTCCGGGACGCACACGTTGCCCGCAAGCAGCTTACTGTAGACAGTTGTATGCTATGGTTTACACTTTTGGACAGCTCGTCCAATTACCCC